ACATTAATATAATTTCAACAAACAGCACTTTGTTGTTATATATTATCATATTTTTGTATAACTCCATTTGATTTACTCACATTTATTCAGGATTTCTGCATCTAATCCCATTAGAGGTTTAGGTCTATAATTTATTAGCATCATTATTATTATTAACTTGCAAGAATCTTTAGTGGTACAGTGGTTAAGGTATTTAGCTGTTAATCAAAATGTCAGAGGTTTGACCCCACCAGATCGTCTGAGGTGGAAAGATGAGGTTGTCTGTTTCTGTAAAGATTTGCAGCATTAGAAACTCACTGGGGATTGCTAAAAGTCAGAATCAACTCAATGGCATTGAGTTTTTTAGTATGATAAACTTTCAGTCATTGTAATCAAAGTTATACTGGGCTCATAACACACGCATGAAAAAAGGAAAAGTGTTAGCTAACATTCCTCCAATAGTAGTTAGCATTCTAGGGGACCTGTATCAAGTGGTCTGTCTATCCTTGAGACCACTTGTCCCTGTTGAGAAGGGGACAGGGACAGCAGTATTCAAGGAAAATCCAACAGTGACATCAACTATCAGTCAGCATAATTCCCAAAACATAAGGAACATCTTCACATTCTTCCCACAATCCACAGGGAGTAGTACAGAGAGGAACCTGGGTGACCTGGCATTGGGCTGTTATGGGACAAGGTGACAATCTGAGCACAGGACACTTTACGTCATGTATTGCAGTCCTGAGTATGAACAGACACCTGTTTCCTTTCACTGTCACCAAATGCTTTGGCTACTTGGAGATGACAGTGGTTTAGAGTCCTGCATGATTCAGAGACCACAACTGGAGGTCCATGTGCCTTGTGTAGGTTTCCTTTTGTTCCTTCCTGGATGTAACTGGTGATAAAGATACACACCATAAAGGTGCCCAGAGAGGGTCCACATTTCTGAAGAAGAAGGGGTGATAGAGTTACCCCGATCATCTCTCTCTAGGAATGTTTCACACCTGCCTTCCTTGGGATCCACAGACAACAGAGGATGGAGCCAGGCTGGCAGCTCAGATATGTCCACAGGGGAGAGAAAATGCAAATGTGGCCCCTCCCCTGCACATTAAAAGCAGCTGATGCCCTCTCCCTGCAGGTCCTGGTGGAACCACCTGATCTGTTCCCTTCCTCAGTGTCAACACCATGGGGACGGTGCTGATGTGGGCTTCCCTTCTCATCACCATCAAAGGTAATGTGCCTCCTGCATCAGGTCGGCTGTGGCTGCTCCCCACGGGACTGGTCTCAGTCTCTGCTCTCTGTCTGCAGGTGCCCTGTGTGATGTTCAGCTGGTGGAATCAGGGGGAGATGTGAGACAACCCGGAGGGTCTCTGAGCCTCTCCTGCAAAGCCTCTGGATTCACCTTCACTGATTATGGGATGGACTGGGTCCGGCAGGCTCCAGGGCAGGGGCTGGAGTGGGTGGCAGGAGTCAGTAAACCCAGTGGAAAGAATCAGTGGTACTCTCCATCAGTTCAAGGAAGATTTACAATAGCCAGGGACAACCCTACAAGCACAGTCTCCCTTAAAATGACAAACCTGAAAGCTGAAGATACTGCCGTGTATTTCTGTGTGAGAGACACACTGAGGGGAAGTCAGTGTGAGCCCAGATATAAACCTCCCTGCAGGAAGGGGGCTGGGCTGTAGGGGGCGCTCAGGATGTGTGGAGCAAAGGGACCCTGCTCAGAAGCAGGTGCAGAGGAAAGCCATGGGTCCCTTTTAAACCTTATGTTTCCTGTCCCTGCTCAGCAAGACTTATCCAAGAACCATTATTGTTTCTTCCATGTAACTCCTGTGGCTCTCACCTTACAAAGGTTCAGTTACAACAGTGATTCACTTTGATGTTTAAATCTTCATTTGCCAGATTTCTTCTAGAAATAATCTTTCAGTAAAGATTTATAGATCAGGAACTCATGTGTCCTCAGTCCAAACTCTAACACCTGCAAAGATTTGTGTGTTTTCCCTACCCTCTCATTCCCGCTGCAGTGAACACTTCGCTAAGAGAATATTCAGTAAATTCTATGGTGCTTTGTTGAAGTCTTGCCCTTTTTCATGCCTCGTTTGTATCCAAACACCACGTTTTTGGCTTGTCCTCTCCAAGTTCATCTGATGGAACGAGTTGCTGGAGAATGATGGCCTGTCTGCTGAAGTGAGATCCATGAGAAGGAGAGAAACCTCAACGAGATGGATAGACACAATGGTTACAGCAGGAGATTCAGGTTTCCCAGTGATCGTGAGGGTACACAGGAACAGGAATTGCTCCGTCCTGTTACACACAAGGTCGTCATGTGTCAGAGCTGACTGGACAGCAACTACCACACCACCAACAATCCTCCTTGTCTGTTTGTTCCTGGTGTTCCATGTCTCAGGCATTACCTACAACAGCCATTCTTTTGTTAAAAGTGGGGGCCCCAAAAAAAAGTCACAGTCATCGAGTCAATTCTGACTCATAGTGACCCCTCCACCAGATGAGGAACCATTATTCTAGGCTCCTTAATCTTCCACAATTTCCATGAAATAAAACAACAAGTACCTTCCCTTTAACTCCTCCCTGTGAGGTGAGTCAGTGTACTTTTCTTTATTCTCACTGCCACCAACCAAGTTCCTGTATATAATGTCCCTCCACAGAATACCCTTACCCTTGAAGTCTGAACAATCTTCACTTCCCATTCTATTTTCTAGAGTTTGTAGCTGTTATCAAGGTGGCTGTGGACCACAATCATGGTATTTTCAATCACTTCATACAAATGTGAAAGATGGACAATGAATGAGGAAGACCGTAACATATTGATACCTTTGAATCATGATGTTGGTGACGAATACTGGAAATACCATGCACTGCCAGAAGAATGAATAAATGTTTCTTGGAAGAAGTCCAGCCACCATGCCCTTAGAAGCAATGATAGCAAGAATGCCTCTTGCTCTTATGCTATGGGGAAGGACCAGTCCCTTAAGAAGGGCATGAAGCTTGGTAAAATGGTGTCAGTGATGAAGAAGAAGACCATCAGAGATGGACTGACACAGTGACAGTAGTCATGAGCTCAAACCTAGCAGTGATTGTGAGGATGGGGCAGGGCCAGGCAGTGTTTGATTCTGTTGTGCACAGGGTTGTTGGGATCAGAACTGGCTCCAAGGCACCAACAAGAACAGCAGCACCAGCTGAGCCCCCTCTTCCCCCCACTCGTTTCCCCTAAGTACTTAGTGGGGAGCTGCGGTCCATGCTGCCCCTTGACTGTGCCCAGCAGGGGTCACTGGGGCTCTTCCAATACATTTCAAATCTGCAGTGTTCCTGCAGGCACTCAGAACTCCCCTGAGAAAATGCAGAAGCGAACGAATCACTAGGTATTGTGACTAATGTTAGTTAATTTTCATTCATTATGACAAGTTATCTCATGCCATACCATGCCATATCATATCACATCACTACATATCCTAACCTATCCCATCCCATTCATCCCATCACATCCCATCGCATCCCATCCCATTCTATCCTATCCTATCCTATCCCATCCTATCATATTCTATCCTATCCTACCCTATCCTACCATAGCCTACCCTCTCCTACCATATCCTGTCCTGTCATATCATGTATGAATCTATATTTTTGGGGAGTCCTATGCTGTCACATCTGGTTAAGAGTGTGACAACTGGCTGAAAGGTTGGCCCCTCAGGAGGACACAGGCACGAGATCTGCTTGTGAAAAATCACATCTTTGGAAAGTGTGGAGCAGGCCAACTCTCAGACCTTGGGTCGGCATGAGGCATCATCAGCTCAAGGCAATGGACAGGGTTATCACTGAGCACTGAGTTTGAAGGGACAGGGTTCCTTTTATTCTTAGTCTCACAAGGCAGCCACCATAGATTCGTCCCTATACCAATTGAGAATTCCGGATTGGAGAGCTTCCACTTCCTCTTTTCTTGAAGAGGTCCTGGGACGTCTCCCAATTCCGCTGGCTGATGGCCCACCCATGCTAAGGAGTACAGATGATTGGTTGTTGCTAAGGGGTTTAGGGCAGGAGTCTGAGATGTTGGGGGACATGTTGGAATCCCCCGGCTCCAAAGTCCACTTAGGGAATTATTATTTAGGGAGGATGCAGAGCCCTGATATGTGGGAGACTTCAGGAGCCAGGCAAATCTCTGATACGTGCTGAATCCGGAGGGTAGATAAAAGCCCTGAGGCATGGGGAGTGTTAGAATCCCCGACACTAAAGACTTCTGCTTAATGATTTACCTGGAGGCCATTAGGACTCAGACCTCACATCTTCTGCATAATAGATGGTGGGTTTGAACCTCTGATTTTCTGGTTATGAGCGAAATGCCTTACCCAATGCCCCAACAGAGCTCCTTATTTTGCCTGAAGAATCCTTCAATATTGCAATTAAAGTGTTGATTTTGTGTGTGTGTGTGTCCATTCCTTTCCTTTTAGAAATGCTAAATGTGCTCTTCCATGTTGGCTTTCTCAGTTCAGATCTCTGCACATTTTTATCATAATACTTTGTCTTCTAGATAAGCCAATGAGAGCATTAATTGTTATTAATACTGTAACTTAAACATGTAAGAGGGTGAAGCAAACCAAATGTAATTATACTGTATAGAGAAAATGTAAAGTAAAACCACTTTTATTGAGCATAATATTTATCACACAATATGAAATATTTTATGGAGTTTGACTTCCTGATAGTGTTATTGAAATCCTAAAACTACAATGGAATATATGAAGGCAAGAACACAATGTGCATCAGGGCCCATCTAACCTACAGTTCTGACAGAGCTTGAGAGAGTGTGCAATTGTTCCTTGTCATGATGTTGATGATGGTTGCACTACTGTACACCTGAATTAATTCTTAATTAATTATATAATTTAACAAAGTGTCATATTTTACACATAAATGAGCCTCCCTAAAGGTATTACAATATGATATATTGGTTGAGAAGGAGCAACAGAGAGATAGATAATGACAAGGATAAGTGGCAGGGACTCTAGACAACTCATCTGCAGGGATCCTGGTTCTCCACTTCCTTGGAAAAACCTTATATGCTGCACACCCATGCTCTGTGATAGACAGGGGGTTCTGCACACCTCACTGGGCCCACCCAACGCTACCATGGGGAGCAGTATAGTTCATTTAGGAGGAGCAAAGCCCAGACACTGAGATAACTCTTACCACACGCAGGCTCACCGACAGTTCACACTGTCCCTCTAGGTTCTGTTTGTAGTTTCATATCAGTAAATAATAGGAAATATTTAAATAGGAAAAAACAAAACAAAATAAATAAATAAATAAATAAAGGCGATCATGGGTGCTAAGTGTTTATCTCAGCACAGTCACATAACAACAAATTGTAATTGCCAGCTCTCATCTTTGCCATAAAACATCCCCAGGACATTCCCAGGCTCTCTGGGTTATGGCCCTCTCAGAACTCATCCAACCCCACATGTTGTTATAAAGGAGGAGGACATGCAAATAGGGCCCCTCTGTCAATGAATGAAAGCAAGTCCAGCCCCCACCTTGCAGTTCTGGGAGAGGAGCCCCTACCCCAGGATTGTCGGGTGATTCCGTTCAGTAATCTGCACTGAACACAGAGGAGTCTACATGGACTCTGGACTGAGCTGGGTTTTCCTTATTGCTATGTTAGAAGGTCATTTATGGACAGGGATTGTGTGTGAATGTGCATGACTGAGAAATGGTGGACTTGTGTGACCGTTTCCTGACCAGGCTGTCTCAGCTCTTGCAGGTGCCTGGTGTTAAGGGCAGCTGGTGGAGTGTGGGGGAGACGTGAGGCAGCCTGGAGGGTCTCTTTGGTGTAAGGGCTCTAGATTCATCTTCAGTAGTTATGACATGTATTGGGTCCGCCATGCTCCAGGCAAGGGGTTAGAGTGGGTCTCAGGTATTACTCCTGATGGTGGCGATTACTACTCAGACTCTGTGAGGGGCCGATTCACCATCTCAAGAGACAACACAAAGAACACGTTGTATCTGCATATGGAAAGCCTGAAACCAGAGGACACTGCCCTGTATTACTGTGTGAAAGACACACTGAGAGGAAGTCATTGTGAGCTCAGACATAATCCTCTCGGACAGGAAGGGAACCGGGCTCCAGGGAGTGCTCAGGACTCACTAAGTCCAGGGACCAGCACCAGGGGTAGGTGCCAATGGGGGTGGAGAGCTGGGTTCCTGGCAGAGTCTCAGGATTCTTCTCTCTCTAACACTTTCCTTTGGGAATCTCTGTAGCTTTAAGATTCTGTGTCTGCCCCCTCAATTGTCTGATTGGTAAAAGTTTCTTTGTAATAGGATGAAATTGTCTCCCATGGACAAAGAGGATTGTCTCAGAGGGAGGCAGAATCGTGCAGCAGAGACCAAGCAAGGGTGTGAGATTGGCAGTCATCGTGGCAGTCTGAAGGCCAGTGAGTGGGAGAGGGAGGGAAGGGTGGGTGGGACTTATATGGAGTAGTTGATGGGTTCAATCTCTGTATTAGCAACCAGGTGCTTAATCAATGCATCACCAGGGCTCCTTCTGTTTGGGAAAAGGATCTCTAAAGGTGTTACCAAAACCAAAAAGACAACTCACTGCCAACATGTCTACTCTGACTCCCAGTGACCCCTTGAGATTCCAAGGCTAGAAATCTTTATGTAACATTATTCCATGCAGTGGCCATGGGTCTGAACCACTGATTTTGTGGTTAGCAGTCTAATGCCTTAACCACTACACCACCAGAGCTCCT